GAAAGAAAGAAAAACAGATGACCAAAGTAGTTGCCCTTCTCCCTTCTTAGATACAACAAATAGTCTTATAAGTTTAGGGTTTTGTTAATTATACTTTGTCTGACTTTTAGCGAAAGAATACGAGCACCTTTTAAACTATCAAGTCATATAAAGGAATCTTCCCTGCGAAGGATTAAAACTTGTCCGCTGACTTGCACACTTACCTTCCGTTTCCTACTTTTCTTCGACTTTTCTTCTCACGTTTATGCGGTAGTCAAGGTCTTTTGTATATATACTTCTCACTCAAACGTGTTTATCGAGGCGGCTGATTATTTAAGATCAATGTTGTTATCAAAGTTAGACAGGAATCTTCTTTTAAAGTTTAAACTAACCAGTTTTCTCCAAATCTAATGACTTGGTTACTCCTTGAAACCAGTATATTCTTACCCTCAGTTTCTTTCCAATCCTCTCGTATTTTTCTATTAAAAAAATCTCTTATCTACTTTTCATACATTTTTAATGAAACTTGACACAGTGCTTAAAAGAAATGAATAGAAACAGCTTGAGAACTCCTTACGTAAATCAAGCATTTGAGTTAGTTCTGCACGAAGTATTGATCACGAATCGAGTTAGCGTTTCTTTACATCCGAATAAAGCGTGGGGGCATTTAACTTTAATAAAAGCAAACCTCGATTATTTGGATTTTTCTTTATTGTCCGGATTTCTTTTCCCTTACACCCGGTTTTCTATGAATATCAATTAGTCGCATCCAAGATACATAACAACTTTTTCCCACCAAACAAAGCTAACTTTGCCTAATGAAAAAGAGCTGCAGGATTTAATTTCAACAGAGAGAGATGAAAACTGATAGAATTCCCTCTCACGTTCTAACTCGTACATTAATGAGTCACAATTTGTAGGTATATCTGCTATACCATACATGTATTTCTATGTTCCTATTTTGGACTCGTGCACGTTAAATCTGATAACCGAAGGCAATATGCTAAGAAACATTTATTTCGTTTCATGCTCTAATTATTTTCTCATCTTTTGTACTCTAGCTACCCTACTAATTTTGTTTACTTTCGCCTCCAGAAAATTCTGATGGAGACACCTGGCAAAGTTGATAAAATAAGTAGCTAATGACCGACTTCAGGGGAAACAATGAGTTTTGTTGCCCTTGCTGGGCAAGACAAGGCAATCCTCATTGTTTCCCGTGGGGCCAGTCACTTTAATTTTAGTTTTTTGAATTGTTTTCTCATACATCCCAACTCAAAAATGACTGCAAAAAAATTATTTTTTATAGGCAGGCTGGCACACACGTTTGCTGCGGTTTCACGGTGAACGACCTTATCACGTGAGAGTCGAAAGTCAAGTCGTTGTTTCCCTTGGGGCTTAGTGCATTTTGTTTACCCTAGAAAGTTAGTGCATTTTGATTCGCGGCTAGCGACGTGTTCAGCGCTCCAATCAAAAAATCTATTTGAGTCAAGCATTTGATATACATATCGCGTTCAGGAGCTCTAGACGAGTCAAGAATTATATTATGCTTTTAGCACCAATAAACTACCTTTCCTTCAGGTTTCAGTTGACTGAAATCCCGATATTAGCAAAGTTATGTGCCCCTCGGAAGAAAACGTTGCCGTTGTGGCGGACCGGAGTAGGTGATGTAGGAGCTCTTTTCATACCGCATGCGTGTTTACAATCAGGAGGCTAGAATAATCGACATTCCATACGAGGGGTTATCCTATCACATCGAAGGTTTCTGTATCAGAAAGTCCACTGAACTCACACGAGCGACAATCTCGCTAAGAGGTTGAGATTGGACATTGCTTGTTTAAAGACCATTGGTATCTATGTTCTCTCACTGATGCAATGCCGATGCCTCGATCGCGCGTGCAGATTGTTCGATTGTTCGTGACAAAATACTGTTTAAGAAATAGTGACTAGAACTCATGTTTGTACTATGAGTTAATGAGGTGAGGTGAGGATTGTTCGTTCATTTTTCTAGTTTTTTATTTAATCTTTACAGGCCTTCGGAAACAAGAGAGTTCTAAAAGTAATCTGAATGCATCCCCTTACGTAATAAGATTGAGGGATAAATTGATCCGTTAGTTGAATCGAGAGATTCTAACCTGCACTGATCTGTTAATAACGTCTTTCCGATTTTCGAGATCTCGAGAAGGTAAAACATGGTCTGAGTCACTCAATTCATAGTTGTATGTTCCATCACCCATTGGTTCGATGTTGATCGACATACAATCATCCTCGAAATAACACTTTAATTCATAATCCTCTGACGATTCTGTCACATGTACGCTGATTACGTGATCGACAACCAAGGCGCTTCCTTCGACTGAGAATTCAAACAGTAGCGTGCGACATTCATCTAGTGATAATAAATGTATAGGAAGCAAAATTGAAGATGGTACGCCTTTGAAGCCTAATTGTTTTAATAATGTTGTTTTTTAGAGTGTTACTTTAAAGATTTTATGGTAAATGAAACATTTCTTGGTCGACATTCGTCGTTCTCATCACCTGTCCTGTGCTTACAAACCTGAGTTTCGTTGAATGATATCCCCAATCTCTGATTTATGATAAAAATACCCGAGGATTACCCTGAATTATTTTATACTTCGGAATCTTTGACCTTAACATCCCTCGTCTCATTCGATCCCTTAACACGAAAAATTGAGCTTTATCTGATTAGCTGAAAGCGGCGAAAAAAGGAGACGACAGTATAAAGAGAATACAGAAACTTTGAGAAATTCTTAAAGCCAAACTCAAGCTTTCACAAAGGGCTTTCAAACTATAGTCAGTACTGATCACTTTTTCGTCGCTATCAAGAACACAGATTGTTATAGAAGTCGGAGTTTTGATATCTGTGACTATAGTCAGTTTACGCTAACTTTTTCATTTACAGAACCACGAAATACTCAACTGATTCATAAAATGACAGATTTGTCAAACACATGAAAGCCTAAACTGACATAAAGTGTGATCTACAGTGTCGGAAAACTAATCTAATGCAGTAACATTATTACTCATTCGAGGTTTTAGGTTATAGAGGGATTCATGAGAGGATCATGTTCTGTAAATGAGAGAACCAAGAGGGGATCCAGATGATGTTCTTCATTCTCTCTCTTGAGGGAATATAGGTGAAAAATGTTAAACGAATAGCTTACCACTTCCTTGAGAGACTTCGAACAAGCCAAGCGCTTTGGAAAGGAAAAGGACGATCGGGAATATTCGTTCTGACATGCAAAAAATTTTGTAAAGCCGTCGGGAAAAAAGTCATAAAACTTGCCGCGGCACTTAAACCCTTTAACCCCTAAGAGTGACCAGCATCTAATTTCTCCTTACAATATCTCCACTGAATCACACATTAATGTCATGAGAATAAAGCAAATGATCACCAACTAAAGTCGGAAACTCTTGATTGTTAGACAAATTGTCTATGTCAGGACCTTAGTAAATCTTCAGAGAACATTATGGAGAATTTGCATACTGATCTTAGGGTGCAAAAGATTAAACAAGGTTGTGGTAAGCTCTAAGGCGATACTTATAACGAACAGACCGCATTACGTGGCTTGGAGTTTTAACGGATCAAACTAACTAAGAACAGTTGCAAGTACAGATCAAGTTATGCAACCTTTAATTTGTTATAATCCTCATTTCTAAAGAAGGAAGCGGCGTATAACAGAAATGTATTTTCATTAAGAATTCTGCGTTGTTACTCAGCGAAAAAATAGGAATTTATAAATAAAGCAATGGAAGTATCCATAAGTATAAATATAGCACAAATATTTCTATTATCAGTTGCACCTTTTTTCCTACTGTACCCTGCTCGTGTAATTTTTATATCAGTTAACACAATAGCCAAGAATCCTTCAGTTTGCTTAATATTAGATTTACAACATTCAGATTTACTGGAGTATTTTTAACATATTAACTAGGGCTGGGTATTTTATTCACAAGCACAAACACAAAGGCATGCGCAGTAGCTGTAGAAGGACCTATGCTGCTCATAAAAAGCGCCACAAATCCTCGAACGGTATGCTTGTATATTTTCGCAGAGTTTCACCTGAACTATATTCAAAACTCGTACATGTTGCTGAACTCGTCCATTGGTAACCTAAAGGTCCTTACAGTAACATTAATAATATACAGACAACTAGTTTACTTGACCAGAATCACTACCATTTGCTTTTTCGGACAAATACAGGCCAAGTAAACCGATGAAGGAGATGCTATGGCGCGTTTATTCTAATTTTAAAAGTCTAATTTTAACATATTTCAAACAAAGAGTTTAAAAGCTAGCGTTTCGAGCTTTAGCCCTTCGTCTTCCGCTGTGACAAAGGTCTAACGCTCGAAACGTCAGCGTTTAAGCTCTTTACGGTGGCCAATTCACAATATCAATTCAGTTGATTAAACCAAATTATTTTGTCACACTCCCCCACCGACACAGCACCACTGTTTCTCTAAAAACTTACCCCCTTTCTACTTCAGACAAAGTTCCTCGTGCTCTCAAAAACTTGAACGATTTGGCTATGAAATGAATGAAATAACAAATTATCACATTAAAAAAAAACAGCTTACCCTAATATTTATATATATTCACGCGGAAATCAGTATATTTACATATTCCGTGATCAAACAAAAGGGAAAGGCTTACTCTTCGAACCTTAATTGTTCTTGGAAATAAGTAAAGCTACATAAACTACTACATAGAAAACCGTGTTTATTTCATTGACTCCTTTAGGATGCGGTGCATGTAAAACTATAACTACGTGATCAAAACAGTGGAGCACTATCGGGCACTACCACAAGGAAGAAGCGAGTGTCAGACATGAGACCTAATTAGATATTTTTTTTTTGTGCGCTAAAACGTCTTTACAATCTACAGCTAGTGAGGGTAACGGTGCATTTCTTGTGTTCGTCTTTGTTTTGTTCTGTTCGTTTGATGAAGTTATTCTCATAGTCAAGGGTTGCTTGGTGTACTGACAGCTCTAAGTTAAACGCAACTAACGAACAAAGACTCTCCAGAAATCGCCGATTGAGATAACACTCTTAGAGGCCATATCATTGCAATCCATCTCGTTAGGGTCACCAACGTTATTCAATTGGACTCGAAGGTGATACTTAAACTGTCTGAAGGCAGGGAACCGGTATAATCTGTTTTGCTCTTCACCATGTCCCCACTTTCCAACATGGTATATTCCATTTGCTAGTCCCCAATCTTTGCAAATGCTAGCCAACATGGAAGTGTCATCCCACTTCAATCTCACATACGAACCACAGGCATCCGGTTGCTCATCTGTCTGACTGCTGAAGTACTGGACCACAGCTTCACCTGAGCTATTGGAAGCTGTGACCACGTGGAATGTGCTTCCCTGTTTCTTGTGGCAGTGGAATCTTAGCTGAGTGAAGGACAGATGTCTTCTGAGCTCTTTCATGGCACTTTTCTGCAGAACCATGTGTGACTTACCTATTCCACGGTATGATGTCTCAACTGACACCTTAGGAGAGGGGCTTCCGAACTCAACATTTGACACCAGAAGCCAACCTCCTAAAATAAAACAAACTTAAATGATCTAGTGACATCTATATAAATAGAATTTTGGACATATTAATAGTGGTAACAGGACTGAGTGGAGTTCAGTTCGGTCTGAAATCATACGAGTGATTAACAAAATGGTACGACCGCGAAGCAGGAGTCCGATTTGTTAGTCACGAAAATCATTACAGACAGAATTGGACGATAAGAAGTCCTGTTACCAATTAATCAAAACTATGACAAAATTTGAGAAAGAAACTAGACATCGGTTTTCATAAAAACAAAAAAAAACAGTTAACTCGGCGAGATGCGAGATCACAAATGACGCGTTCTGTCCACTAACACAAGCGTGACGTGTTAACTGTCCCTTTAACTGTCCTATTAAACTGTCCAATTACAAGCATGACGCATACACTATCCTATTAGTGCTCAAATCGGCCGGCTTGTGATAACCAATCACGTTCGTAAATTTTGTCATAGTTTTGATTAAAAACATAATACGAATAGCCAAGACCAGAACGTTCCAATAACAACTGCTTCAAGTCAATACACTCCGGTTAAAGTCCTCGTGTCTCGAAAAAATTTCATTCTCTTACCACCATATGTTGACATGTCACAATAGACCTTCAAAGGGTTTCCACTCTTCTTTGGGTCAATCCAATACTCCCCGTCTCCTTTGGAGTGTCCAGAGTCCAGAATTTCCTTACAGGAGAACGCCGGATGATTAGAATCCCGACCTCGTTTATCTGCATCAGAAAAGGGAAGAATAATCATTTGGAACGAGGAGAGGATCAAACTAAGTAACAAAACATGCCACAGAAGTCTTATTCCATAAGTAGTTCCTTTCGCGTAATTATTAGATAGCTTTTGATTTTGGAAATTTTGTAGGATCCATAGCATCTTTCAATTCAAACTAAGAACATGGAAATGGGAAACCTATCATTAAAAGGAAAAGCAAGAGATTTTAAACTTGATATTCTCTGGGGAAAGGTTATACATGCTACGTTATACATACGCTGACCAGAAGTAAGAAATAGGTCGCGTGCGACTTTATTTGGAATCACAAACCCGCCAAAATAAAAGAGATTACCCTTATCAAGAAAAAAACAGCTGGTGGCTTGGACATGAAGGATTTTTCTCTCTTCGACAAAGCGCTTAAGTTAAATTGGGTGAAAAGTTAAATTGGGTTATGCTCTAACTCGGATGTCCCTTGGCAGTACATACCAAAATCGCTCCTAGCTGATGTTGGCGATAGAACTGTTTAAGTGTAATTATGATTATAATCTCCTTGACCTAGACAACCATCTTCCTGCTTTCTACAAACAAATCATTTTATACTGGCAGGACATCGCAACGGCCACACCTAAAAATAAAAGTGAGGTTCTCTCACAGCCAATCTGGAATAACCGATTTTTAACTGTAAATAAGAAAATGGTATTCTTTCCTCATTGGTATCAAGCAGGAATAAAACAAATCTCGGACCTTTTTTACTCCTTTGAGGGCCATTTCCTTCCATTCAATTCTTTTTGCAATAAATTCAATTTAAAATGTAACTTTTAACAATATTATAGCATTCTTTCTTCTATTCCCCAAAATTGGAAGAAAATATTGCAAGAAGGTTCCAAAAACCCAGTTACGCCTTCCACCTCAATCTGCTCACTGTCATGCAAGACAATATAAAGTACACTGTTTAACCTTGAAGATCTACCTCCACCAACTTCTGTCAAAAAACTTTTAGCGTCTGGCGTCGAGAAAAGTGACCCGACTAAAATCTACCTCCTACCATTCAAAGCCACGAGAGAAATTAAATTGACGATGTTCCAATACAAAATCATTCACCGAATTTTACCAACGAATAGCTTGTTACACAAAATGAAAAAAGTTGCCTCGCCCTCCTGTCCCTTTTGTCCTTCTGAGTGTCAGACCCTGTAGCATTTGTTTATAAACTGCATGCACGCAAGTTCTTTTTGGAATAGATTCCAGGAGTGGTACTAAATCTCTATTCATTTAATAATCTATTAAATTCTAGAAAATTAATACCCTTTGTAGTGTAATTAACAAACAAAATTCCTATTAGTGACTCGAACAATTAACATGCAAACAATAACGTAGACAGATCAACTGTAATTCAATTTGAATAGTGTAAATGTAATGTAATATATGTATTAGTTCGTGTAGTGTGATCGTCCGGGTGAGTGTAGTTCTGAAAAGAACTGTTGTTGGTGACTTGTTGGTGACAGTCACCAACAACAGTTCTTTTCAGAACTACACTCACCCGGACGATCACACTACACGAACTACTGATACTCCTGGGTTCAAACCATTTACTTTAATATATGTATTGTAAGTAGTGCAAGTTAATGTGGTGTAAGCATCGTGTAAGAAGTAAGTATAGTGTAAGTACATATGTAAGTATAATATATAGAAAAAAAAGAAAAAAAAAGTAAGAATTAAGTCACCATTTTTTGCTTGGAAAGAGGGGGTGGGAGGGGGAGAGAGTCTTCGGGGGGGGGAGGAGGGGCATCTCATCGTTATCAAAGGGAATGGAAAGGGGATCAGTCGTCGCTAAAAGAGTTTAAAGGTGGGACTAAAGAAAATTGGCGGCTAATGAGGAAGATCGATAGAATAATTCGGAACGTTATGGAAGGATCAGGAAAATTTTATGGTGACAACATACTCATACTCCGACCCTTAATACCCCCCACCCACCTCCACTAACTTTTCCATAATGTTAAGCACCTTACTAAACAGTACCTCTTCCATAATAAGTAGAACGTGGGTTACGCCTCAGATTTTCCGGACTTGATTTTTTGGTTTGATTACTCAGTTGACATTCCTTCTTTTCATCACCAGCATCAGATTTACTGTTGTAAGATTGGCATTTTTCATCTTGAAGGCATCTCAATCCACAGCTTATTTCGTCAACATATAATGTCTTGGTGATATGACCAATTAGCTCAAATCCTAGTAAAACAACACAATCGTGTTTCATATTATCATCATACAGTTTACTTTGGATACTTTAATAATACAGTTTGTGTGTAGTTGTTTACCCTGTCTTAAGAGGTCATCTTGATTCTTGATATCGTACAAAGGTGAATATGAAGAACCCCTAAGAGTTATGCGAGTTGAGCGTAGAAAGTTTCCGTTGTTTTTACCCGATTTTGGGGCAATTTTATATTTTTTCACGGATTCTATTGTGGCCAGCAGAGTACAAGGGGGTAAGTATAGAGGTTTACCACCAATGTGGGGGATTGTAAGAATGTTACAGAGCCTTCTTAGAGGGGGAGGGGGGGGGGGAAGGGGGGATGGGATTATGTGAAGTTTATCGTGAAACGACCAAAATCTGTGTCATCCGATCCGAGTTTTCGCCCATGGCACTTGACACCTTCACATCCCGTCGGAAATTAAATATCACTGTGTTGGAAGGCGTATATGTATATAAAGTTTATCGTGACAGCCAAAATCTGTCATCCGATCCGACTATTTGCCCATGGCACCTGACACATTCACATCCCGTCGGAAAAAAATATCACAATTTTGGAAGGAATGACACATTCACGTGTTACCTTCAACTCTCTCGAAAATCTCGTCCCTGCTCAAGTCAGTGTGCAGAGCAGAGCTGAAAGCCAGAAGAAACACAGCAACACCACTCAACAGAACGGGACAGAACTGGAAGCCAACTAGATGCCCTCTCATTCTGTAATTTAAGAAAGAAAGAAAAACAGATGACGGATTTCGTCCTTTCTTTTTAGACGCAACAAATAGTTTTATGAATTAAGGGTTCTGTTCATAACACTTTTTCCGAGTCAGCAAAAGGATGCGAGGGCTTTTTAAATTACTAAGTCATATAAAGAAATCCTTCCTGCTAAGGAATAAAACTTGTCCGCTGGCTTGCATTGACTCGGCGAAAGAATACGAGCGCCTTTCAAACTATCAAGTCATATAAAGGAGTCTTCCCTGCGAAGGATTAAAACTTGTCCGCTGGCTTGCACGCTTACCTTCCGTTTCTTTCTTTTCCTCGACTTTTCTTCTCATGTTTATTCGCTAGTAAAGGTCTTTTGTATATATACTTCTCAATCAAACGTATTTATCGAAGCGGCTGACTATTCATTATTTATATTGTTGTCAAAGTTAGAGAGCAATTTTCTTTTGAAGTTTAAATTGACCAATTTTCTCCAAATCTAATGAATTGGATACTCCTTCAAACCAGTATATTCCTCTCGTATTTTTCTATTGAAAAACTCTTTTATCAACTTTTCATATAATTTTAATGAAACTTGAGACAATAATTAAAAAAATAACTAGAAACAGCTCGAGAACCCATACATAAATTATGCATCAGTCAGCTTTGCACGAAGTTCTGATCACGACTTGGGGTTAGCGTTTCTTTACATTTGAGTAAAGCATGGGGGCATTTAACTTTAATAGAAACAAACCTAAATTACTTGAATTTTTTTGATTATCCGGATTTCTTTTCTTCTCTACCCGGTTTTTTTATGAGTATCAGTTGGCATTCAGGATACAAAACAACTTTTTCCCACCAAAAAAAGCTAAATTCGCCCAATGAAAAAGAGCTACAGGATGTAATTTCAAGATTAAAAGTCTTCTTTAATTAAACTCACACCCTAACTTGTATGTTTATGAGTCACAGTGTGTTGGTATATCTGTTGTACCATACATATATTTGTGTGTTCCTATTTTGCACCCGTGTTAGTTAAATCTAATAGCCGAAGCCAATATGCTAAGAAATATATATATAAAAATATATTTCTTTCGATGCTCTAATTATTTTCTCATCTCTTGCACTCTAGCTACCCTACTAATGGTGTTTACTTTCGCTTACTGACAATTTTAATGCAGACACCTGGCAATGTTGATAAATTAAGCGGCTAACTGACTCTAAGGCAAACAATGAATTTTGTTTCCACTGCGGGCCAAGGGAAAGCAATTCTCACTGTTTCTCGTGGAACCAACCACTTTGATTTTAACTTTCAAAAGTGTTTTGTCATACCTCCCAAATCGAAAATGACTGCTAGATTTTTTTTTTACGCAGGCTGGCACTCACATTCGCTGCAGCTTCACGGTGCACGAACTTATCACGTGAGAGTCGAAAGCTCGAGTCGTTGTTTCCCTAGGGGCTTAGTGAATTATGTTCACCCTAGAAAGTTGGTGTAGTTTGTATTTTTTCACTGCTCGCGACATGTTCCTTCAATCAGAAAACTTATTTGAGTTGAGAGGTACAAAACGATTAAATTTTCATAACTGCTTTCTTCTTATTATAAGGTTGATCTAGTGCTAAGGAAATTGGTTAGTGGGTCGAGTCACGTGCGACGCGCGTGAATACAAAGATTCCAGGGTAAGAAGAAAAGAACACTTTGCAGTGCAAAAAAAAATTCACGAAAAGTCAAGAAAATTTCAACGCTCTACTTGACGTGGCGGAAAGCTATTGAGAAAAACCATGCCTAGCACAAAAGGTCGAAGCTAGCTGGGAAACCTGGATGGAAAAAAAGTAATCACACAGACATCGACCTTTCAGGCTTGTTTTTACAAGGTGCATTACAGCAAATAAAATCTTTTTCTTCCAAGAATTTGATTCAAAACAAAAGAAAAGTGAAGAGGGAGGAAACAAGTCAAAAAACTTGGTATGCCTTGGATTAATTTTCCAGAAAGTGTACTGAAGAGCCGTC